CTCCTTCGAAAAAAAAAATAGTCCAAGGCTAGACACGACTATGAATCCACATCAGACTAACTGTAGTCAAGTGCAGTGGCATCTGCTAGAAAAGATGAGAGTTTTCACGGCGCAAATGCAATAGTTTCACTGAGAAGAAAATGTGCTCCATCGTTTCACAGTTTGGCCATGACATCCAGCTGATTGCACTTCACATCCACTATGATTGATCTTTGCCATTCTGACAGGAAAATCAAAGCAAATAGGTCAGTCGAGTTTCCATGTCTGCAGCAAACTAGTACTAGTTGTGGCTGATCTTGTATAGATAATAATGCACCAAATTTCACAGTACCTTCTACGCTGTGTCATATGATACACCCAACTTCTATGACACTGCACATTCAACTGAAGCCTGCAACATTACTCATTGATTGTCCCACATCAGCTGTGGTAATATCGTCAATAAACTGTGAAATGACAGATTGACCGGTTTGAACTCACAGACTTCCAGTTTCCTTAAATCGAGCGATCATTCTCCTGAGAGATTATGGAGTTAATGGTCCTTAGCGTAAATGCTTACGACAGAGTGCATTCTCGAAGGGCAGCCGCAAGCATTCGCGTTGTTTCCATAAGTTTCAGAAAAAATGCGCATTTCCACATAGTGATGGCCATCATAGCTAATAGGTAATAAGAACGGCATTTAACAGTTACTTTTATACCCAAAACGTGGCAGTAACGCGTGTTCTTATGAAATAAAAACTTTTTTTGTTGTTTGCAGCACAAAAAGAACAGTGGCGAGTTTTGGTATTAATGTTTTTACAGAAGTATCTTTCGCATGTCGAGATGTCATCACACCAGATTTGGTTGCATTTAGACTGCTAAATCTCTCTCCAACAACAGTGTCACCCAAAGGCTCTATCTCCATAAAAAATTGAAAATCAAGTTCTGCACTTGTCATCGCATCTAATTAGTATAATTTATCGGTATCGTCCAATATCTAGCATGAAAACGTTCTGAAATTATTACAGAACATTAGGCATGATAACTTGATTGTTGAATAACGTGCTTTTTAAGATAACCCAGTATGTCATATCGATCTATACTTATACAAAACTTACAATGTTAAAATTAGCAAATAAAGGCTTCATCCAAACGCAGTTGCCGAATACAATAAAATTTAACAAATAATAATTTTAAACATGCTAAAATCAGTATATAGATAATTGTCCATTATTGTTGTATGATAAAACATAATTCAGGAATAGGGATTATGATTTTGAAAATTTATTCATTCTGATGGAAAAAGACAATTTAAATATTTATAGAAAAGAATTCTGTTAAAATAAAGGTCTCTATTTGAAAGAACGAATAAAAGAAAGCATAATCATAATAATTCTAACCAGTGAAAGTTAATCGCGTTAATCAATCAATTAATCGAACTTAGGTTCGATTGACTGATTGAGTAATGAGAACTATAAGCACATTGTAGGGTGTAAGGCCGAGACTCCACTAGCGTTAAAACTCTGTCCGTAAATACTTGTAATCACGTGACCTACTTGAATTGCAGGTAGGTCCGGCTACACTAGCGAAGTTTTTACTTCGACGGTACTATCGAAGTTACTTTTTTAAAAACTATTTCTTAAAGGCTGTTATACACGTTACGGAAATCCTCAAAGGATGTACTTAACAGACGAAAAAAATCGGATATAACTGGCTGGATCGAACATAGTAATTTACAAAACTTATTAAAATATTTCCCAACGTATAAAAAATTATTTTTATTTAAAGATGGATAGATAGAAAAAAAATCACGATTAATCCTCAAAGGATTTCCGTATCGTGTATAACAGCCTTTAATAAGAGGGCTTCTTTTAGCAAGCTCATTATAGGTTCAGCCAGGCCCACAATGGGGCGGCCAGTTGGTAAGGAACGGGGCCCGACATATCCGGATGGACCACCCCCAAAAAATTCCTGGGGATTTTTTTGATCCGTCCGGATTCGATCCCGGGTACCCCAGACGGTAGGTTGCCACCGTGATCGTTCGGCCATCCGGTTGTCAGAATAATGTAGGTACGAAAAAGTGACTCTGAGTTGGACTCAGTACGTTTCTGTTCGATTTAGTGATGGATGTATTGGTGGAAGATGTAAAGAGCAAAGCACAACAGAGTATGCTGTTTTCGGAGTATGCTGACATTGTGCTATGCGAAGCATCCAGAGATAAGGTATAATAATTGAGAAAAGCGCTAGAAGAGAAAGGCATGATCAGCAGTGCAAAGGCAGTATGCATGACATCTGGTGGAGGGGATGAGAGCTATATACATCTCCATGGTAAAAAGTTAATCGTATCTGCCAAATTTAAATATCTTGGATTACATGTAGCAAGTGATGGAGGAATGAGTGCCGAAATCCAGTATAGTGGATGGCTGAACTGGAGAAAATGAGTTTGATAAGAAAATAAGCTGCAAAATGAAAGGAAGATTATATAAAACCGTGGTAAGACCTGCAATAATGTACAGACGGGGTGCTGAGACGGGGCAATTACAAGAGTCCAGAAAAAAAGTAGGAGACAGAGATGAGAATGCTGAAATGGAAGTGTGGTGTGACAAGACAGAATTAGGAATGATTACATAAGAACAGTCAAAGAGGGTCCTATAAGTAAGATGGTGCAGGAAAGTAGATTAAGATAGTTTGGACATGTGGAGAGAAGTGAGAACTATATTGCAAAGAGGATTGGAAAGTTAGAAGTGATAGAGAGGAGGAAACTGGGAAGACCGAAGCTGAGATGGAGAGAGAGGACGTCCTGGATACAGAAGTGGAAAAAACAGATTACAGATAGGAATGACTACCTCATATAAATACGAGAAAAAAGCAAAGATTATTTTTTAACGAATTAATTTTTATTCTTGTATGTTGGAATAAAGTTACCGAATGTCCCGAATTAGGCGGGATTTGGACTGTGTCATAATTATATTTAAAAATATCTAATATTAATTTCATGAATTATAAGTTAAAGATGAATTGCAAACAAGTTATTAAATTTTAATATCCAATTTATAGAAACAGCACCCCAATTGACGATTTACTGTTAAATATGGCAACTGTCTTTCGTGTAAGAATTGCGTTCTTGCTGATCAGTTATAAAAGGGAGTATATGGTTTTTTGCTAATCTGAGTTTAAAAAAAGGCGGTTTCTGCTAAGAAAGTTACAGTCGGAGTCATAACTAACTGTTCATCGTTGCTATTGCTGGCGGTTGTCATTTAGTAAACAAGAGTGTATGGATAAACAAAACATTCACTTATTTGTTCGTAACATCTGCCATTGATGATGTCAGAGAACTAGAAAACCGACGATCGTCAGTCAAGATCGATCATGTAATTTTTCTGACGTCACGTCAAAGCATCCGGTCTAACATCTCATTTTTTACTTTTTAAATTTCAGAAAATGGTCACCTTAGTTTTGAGTATCCAATTATTTTCTATTATTTTAAATTCTTTTTTTCTTATCATCAATATAAGCCAATGTGCGTAAAACTAATTATTGTATTCTTAATCCATACGTTAATTTTAACACTTCATTATTGTTGTTATTTTATTAATGCTGATCAGATTATCCAACGTTTTGAAATGTAAATTAAGGAACATTTACTACACGATAATAAAATCTGTTATAAATAAATATATATATATCCTATATTTAATTGCTGAAATAAAATATAAAAATAACTAACATTATTTATATTCGCCATGTTTGAATTAAAATACTCGTATTTTTATGGAATAATATCCCATATAATTACTATTATTATTTTAATACATTTCTTATTGTCGATTAATATTCATTACGTTTCTATTAAACTTATTCTGTAATTTTTCTATTCATACATGAATATCAGATATAAAACAATAGTAGTTTCAATTCTAAAGAATATGAGAAAAAATCCTATGTAAATTACAGTAGTAAGTTTAAAGTGTAAGTTATATCACAATCCTGTATTTTAAATATTTTAAAAAATTATATTTTTTTCATAAAATTTTTTACAATAAGTGAATAACAGACATCTCTAACATATTCATTATAATTTCTGAAATTTAATAAAAGATACATAATTAAAACTTCAAATTTAAGCTTGCATTTACAAATCAGAATTAACAAATGGTGAATAAATTACAATACAAATAATCTGAAAGGAATATTAATTATTTTATGTTTTCTTTCTTGATATTTCGGATTAAACGAATTCAAAACGAACATTATTTTTTCTACTGTGAATTTAGTTGCTCTATTTGATGCTAGAGTTTCTGAAATAAAATCACCAAAAGCAACATCGCATCTTTTTCTGTTTCAAAAATAAATACTCTTTACGTGACTTAAAAACGCTCTTAGAAAAATTAAAATTTGGATTTCTTTAAAAAAATTTTATTTTTTACTTGAGGCAAATTTATTCCGTTTTTAACGGAAATTTATTCCAAATTTGATTTTAAATTATATCAATATTAATTTTTCAAAACTAATATTTTAAAATCAAACATCATATTAAAAATGCATCACAAAACACTAATATTAAGTAATTACATTCATAAAAAAACTACAGTAATAATAAAAAGTAATAAAATTATAAATTTTTGTATCTCAATTTTTTTAGACAGTAATATTGCTTATAAAATTCAGAGTAAATCCGTATTTAGTTTTGTATATTCATAATACAAATTAACATAATCTGAAATATTTTTCTGGTAACATAAAAAACTGACTTAAATTAATTTAAAATAAATTCAATGATTAGTGTATAATAAAATATTTATTGACTGAAAATTAAAGAAATAAAAAGGTTATAAGAAAAACTGTTACATAAATTTTGTATTTTACTTAGAATTTGATATTAATAAAAAATAATAAAAATAGAAATATTTTTATTCTTAACATTACTTTATTTTTCTCAATTGCTTATGTTATATTTACAATATGAAAGATTAGTAATATCATAAACAATAATTAAGTTACAAAAGACTTATTGTTGTTATTCACTTTACAACATACTATAATGTTTTATTATGAGGATTATTCATTATTAATTTACAGTAATAATTATCTTTTATTTATATAACTCTTATATAATCTTTCAAGAAAGCTAAAGTATTATAATTTTATCTCTTAAATTTTAACTAAATAGGAATAATTCTTTTAAAAAGTTCTAATTATCTAAGAATTATTTTAATTTATGAATAATGAATTATAAATTTTATTTTACAATAAATATCAACAATCCAGAGAGAATCCACACAAAACAGTTGCCAAGAATTTAAGATCTCATCTCAGACTTGACACATGTTTTAAAAGCATCCCAGCCTTCATTCTTGATCAAATGTGACTATAAAAAAAATAATAATTTTTTTATAAAATGCATTTTGTAGTAAAATCATAAAAGTGCATTTATCATTACTCTTTTAGCATGCCAATAATAATTTGAAATATGGGTTCATTTTTATATTTTTAAAAGTATTTGAATTACAAGATTCTTAATTGAGATTTACTAAATCATTTATGCAATTTTATTACATAAATTCTAGTGAGATATGATTGATTTCAGAACCCATATGTCTGAGTGCATAATTTATTTTTACCTCTATAAACAAATTATTAATTCTTGTGATAAAAATATTTAAATTCCTTAAACTACAGTGCAAGATTATATTGTAAGGAAAATGACATGCGTGAAAATTATTCAGGATTTATTCAGGGACTGTAGTTGGGTATAAGGAGATATTTGGAATATTAGCATTATTTCTTATACATGCCCCAGACACAACATATAAACCTATTTATAATGGGATAATGTAAAGTGGGTATTATAAAGGCATGCAGAATGATGGTAGTAAACTCACCCCTGAACCATTAGTCTTCCTTTGGACAGGACGCTTTACAATAGGTAGACAACACATAATTCATACAAACAATTATCACCACAAAGGAAAATATTTACAAAAAAGAATAACAATAGTATTTCTCAAGCCTTGTCTTAACTCCATTTTAAAAATTAAAATACATCCTTATTCTTCATTTTTTATTATTATACATTTATTTTATTTTGGTAATTTTGATACATACATATATATATATATATATAATAATAATAATAATAATAATAATCGTTCATTTAATATTATTAATCTAAACAGTTTAAGATATATGAATTGCATTTCATAAAAAGCATAAAAATTATGACCAAAATTTTCTAAGAAAAATTTTTATGTATTATTAATGAAAATTGAAAAATTAAGGATATACTGTATTTATAATATCTTTTTTTAAATTTATACATAATAAAATCTGCTTGAGATAACCACTGATTAATATATATATTAATTTAAATACTCTCTTTAAAAATTCTTTTTTTTTTTTTTTGTTATATTTTTATGAAAAATCTAAATGATATAGGTTAATTTCTACTAAGCATAAAATAATATTAATCAGATAAAATTTTATTCAAATAAATTTTGCTACATATTGTAAATAATGAATAAAAATAAAATATGATGACATCTTAACTGCTAATCTCAAAATTTTATTTTTAAAAGCTTTAAACATTTAAAAAATTAAAATGGAATATATATACAGAGGTAGGCAAAAGTAGATTTACAGATGTATGTGAAACATGAAATTTATTCTTGAATTATTATTTATTTATTAATTATTGTATTATTTATTTGTAATATTGTTATTATTTTGTCGACTGCAAGACTATGAAAATGTATAAATAATGGTGGCAAGTAATGAGCACTTACAAGATTGTACCTAATTGCACTGTCATTGTGACATTCTTTTCAGTTAAAGCTATTATAATAATCATAACCTGCATATCTTTTTCCATATGAATAACTGTAAACCTACTTTTGCTCACCTTTGTATATTGTTAATTTTTTTAATTTCCAATTTTACTTTATATTTTCATTCGTTTTAATTTTTTAAATAGCATTGGATTTATAAATTAACTAATGGATAATGAGATTTATTTTTATGTAATATTTGAAAATAAATAAATTTTTATAAATGTACTGTGTATGTTTATATAAAGTCACAGTTACTTCTGCCATTTACCCGTGTTTTGCTGAATTTCTTCACTTTGACATTAAGAGCACTGGGCAGAAAATGTTATTGTTGTTAAGTTATGGCAATGCAACACTTGGGCAATCTGCATAGGGGGGATGCCTTCCGGAAGTCTTTTTAAGGGAAACTGGCCCCTATTTAGGCGTTACAGACGTGGAGAAAACCTGGAAAACTCCATGTGGCCAGCCCATCCGAGCGAGGCGTAAACCCGCGACCAAACTCCCAGTGTTCAGGGTACGAAGACCGCTTGGCCACTGGTGGGCCTCTGGGCAGAAAACACAGTGTGTCAACATTGACCTTTGGTCATCCCAATGCTTTATTTTAATTAGAAATATCCAGTAAACAATTTGAATAGTATGCTTTACAGATATTGTAAGTTCCTAAGATCTATTTCTCTTATAATATTTTAAATATTCTTCATCTGATTACTTTCCTACACTTAAAAATTTTTAGTTGTGACAACATAACTGTCATTGGTAATTCCTTTAACTAAGAAGCAAACTTTACATTTTTAAACATGTTTAATCAAATTAATTTCTATTCATGATAAGACTTATTTACTATTACTGGACTGAAATAAAATTATTACAGTTGAAAATTAAATTTCCAATGGAAGTTTATTTTAAAATAAAACAATTTTATTGATAACTTAGATTCAATTTCAAGTATTGTATTTTGTGTTATATATCACACGTGGTGTTTAATTAAAAGTGTTTCATGCAATGTTATTATCAAATATGATATTTCAGATTATTCATACTGAAATCAATTTTAATTATATTGAAGATTTTATTATCTTAATTTGAATTTAGCATTAAGAATTAAATTTTAGCAGTGGCGTGCCGTCATTGGAAGCGGTGGAAGCACCACTTCCCTTGTTTTTCTAAAAAATAAATACAAATTAATTTTAATTATATGAAAATAATTGCACAATATTTTATTATAACCGCATTATGTATCTTATTACAAATTTCTATACTACACGTGAAAAAAAAAATAAGATTGCTATTGTATATTCGAATATAAGTGGCGGAGTGGAAGCACTGTATTGTCAGCTTCCAAACAGCCAGATTCGTGCATGAGCTTTACAGAGCATCAACCTCACCTGGTTTAGCTGGTGGAAGCCTAGGACCTCGAGTGGATGTTACATGTATACCGCATCCAATTCTATCCAGGACCGGTTCTGGGCTGTTAGCCGCCTGCCCGCTAGATATTTGGCCGCCTTCGCCCGATTATGTGAATCATGAGTAGATTTATAACTTAACCCAACCAATAAGAATTTACTGGTATGTTTTTATAATAGTTCTGTATAGTTGACAGAAGTTAAAAAAATCCATTAAAATATTTGATATTTTTATTCTGTCTCCCATCTTGTATTACTTACGAATTTCAATGTTAAACCAGTGATATTAAAAAAGTGTGTACAATTCTTGTACAATGTTAAAAAATTAACTGTTACTTTGGTAGCATCATTTAAAACTAAATTTTATGAATGAGAGAGATGCACGAGGTACAGAAAAAGCTCTAGAATTTCTTTTCCTTAAATTTGCTATTTATATATCCGTTGTCAGAAAAATTTGTCTTTCCACTTTTTTCCAGAGACTACAAATATTCGAGTACAAAGTAACCGGTTTCAACTTATTTCTACTTAAGAAGTAGTTAAATAATCAAGAGATTAGGGAATTAGGGACATAAATAAAACCCTGCTGAAAGAGCCAAAATATTACTTAAAAGCTTAACTGATCCAATCTCTAGCCGAGTAGAGCGGGAACTGATTTCTTCGTAATATTAGACGTAATATAAACAAAAATTTTTCCAGTTCAACAAGAGTGACCGAAAAGTTGTAAAATTTGGAAATTTCCGTGGACACCTGGTCCTAAAACGAATTAGTTAGAAAATAAATGACTATTATGTTTAACAAATTTAGATTTTTACAGCTATGGTGAGAAACATTTAAAATTTACAACAACCCTGTCGCGTCCTTTGAGATGTACTAGTGATGCGACAAAAGAGGCATTTGACGTTAACCGGTATGGGCACCCTCAGGATTTGGCAGCCTGTGTGCATGCACGCACTGCACACCTAGCAGGACTGTTTCTCCACCCGTAGAGAGCTATTTGACTAAGTGGTTAAGATTTAAAAAGTATAGAAGATTTTATGTTATTTTTATGTACAGTACGTTTCTTTACAAACCTATATTTAATTATAATATTCTTTAAAAGTATATTCATACAATTTAAGAATATTTTGTACTAGGTATGTATATCCACCACACATTTTATTTCACCAAGTAAGTTTTTATAATTTTATTTCTAATTTTAGCCCTTATATTGTGGCTAGCAATTCAGAATGTAATTGTGATATTGAAAATTTGTTGAAAAAAAGTTTTGGCTCAAGATCATATGATGAAAAAGAAAACATTATTAAAAGAGAAAGGCCAATGCCTAAGTTAGATATAAACACTTCAATAAAAAAATTTTTCCGACATTTTCACGATAAAATGGCTTTGTGGATGCATAAAAATGCAAAAATTGTTTTGTTGGCTTACCTACTATTTTCAAATGAAATTAGTGTGTGGAATAAAAATGGCTTTGACAATTTAGCTGGCAAAAGACACAAAAAATTGTCGATTCTTTCATATTTGAAGCAATTTGGAAATCAAAGCGGAATAGAATTTAACATTAGTAAATAATATAAAATAAATGTTGAAAATTATAACGAGATAGTTATGGCAAATAGATATATTTAAATTAATAGATGTTATATGTTTTTATCAAAGCAAGAATTGGCATTTAGAGGGCATAGGGAATCTATTGAATCTAATAACAGAGGTAATTATATTGAACTTGTTTATTTATTAAACATGTCAGATAAATAATCTACTAAAAATACATTTAAAGAATTAACTGATTGCCCCTGGAAGTCGGCTTCTTACAGAAACACAGCTTTCCTATCAACAAATGTCACGGCATGCCACTGAATTTTAGGATTAAAGAAAAATTTATATTGTAAGATAAATACTACAAAATCTGAATTGAATATGTTCAATATATATGAAATGTATAAACTCTGTTAATATGTTATAATCTCAATCATAACAGCAATCAAAAACAATTAGAAGAAAAATTTTGTAAAATAATTATGTAAATTTGCAAATATATTTTCAATTATATTATTGATTTTGCCAAAATTATCAGGCTACTATTGACCAATAATTTCAGTGAAGATTTTTTGTCTTTAACCAATTAAAATTGGAGTATGAGT